ACCCCACCGCTAACCCACCCCGCCCGCAGTACCACGCGACGCCAGAGGGGGCTCCAGAGTGTCGCCTTTACTTCTCATGAAGGAAATTGTGAAACTCTCCTTATCCCACGGTGGGGAAGGTTGCCCCAAAGAGTATTTGTACCACCACAACATTCCACGTGGCATGAGAACTTCAAGTACAAGGAGTAAACGCCCACCATGAAGAAATTATCTGCTCTTTGAGGGAAACCAGTCTAGTTAATTTCGGCTTAGAGGATAATTGTGCCAGTGCCAATCAGGGTGCGTTTGCCAATGGGATCAGCGCTCTAGAAGCGATGCCTCTCCGTGGGCCCGGAGTCCACCTTATGCGCCTCTTTCAAAGCGCCGAAGCGCCTTTTAAGAGTGGGCGACGGGGCCACGGTGACGACCCGCACCTCGTAGCCCCTGCCTTTTGCAGTGCCGCAGCACCTTGTCTCCCCGCGCCGGACCGACCCCGGGTCCGGGTCTAAGGGGTGAAAGGAGACCAGGGAAGGCCACGGGAAATCCAGTCTGAGCCCGGCCAGGGTGGGGCGCGCGGACCAGCTCTACCCTGATCACACAAAACCGAAATAGGATGGAAGCTGGTTACTTCACTTTTTCCTCCTCTTTCTATCACTCGCGGTTTTCCTATCTTCCATCACCCTTCTTGCTATCGAACCTGCTCTCGTTTTCTCTTTTTGCGTTCTGCCCCACTTGCGTTTCCTACCGTCCTGCGGTGTATCGTGCTAGTGTTTATCTTCACCGATCTATAACGTTGTTTCGTATCCCTCGTCTGTTTGCAGAGCGCGTTGCCCGTCGTCAAGTCCATGTCCCAGGTGGGCTACTCGGTGTCGCTCGTCTCACTGCTGGCGGCCTCGGCAGTGCTGGCCACCATCAAGTAAGTAGTACCATTCTTATTTCCTTAACCCAACAACAAAACTTCCTATTTTATTCTGTTTGTACATTTACATGTGTATGTTATTTTGTCATTCAATAAGGATCCGATCGCTTCGCCAGCTGACGCCCTTTTCCTCTTTTATATCCAAACAAGGCCCATGCACCCTGATTCTTTTAGTTCCCTCTAAATGTTGCCTTCTGTGCAGTGCAGCCGCCCGAGTGTCCGAGTCCCAAAACCTCCGATTCATTTATATATAAAGATAGACAGAGAAAGATGGGTGGAGAAAAGAGACGAAGGGGGGCCGATATGGGGGACCCATATGCCGACGAAAAGCCAAAGCCACGCGCATCCACCCACGAGGGCGCCTTCTGCGAGCGGGGAGAGAGAGAGATAGTGCCGGCCGCCGTGAAGGATAGAGCAGGATACAGCAACAGCGCCTGCTGCGGCTCCCATGTGGGTGCCACGCACAACACGATCGGCCTGGAACCTCCCCTTCCACCCCTCCTTCCTCGATCGGACTGAGGTCCAACTAGGCCGCATCCTCGCCCCCTGCCCCCTTGGAAACGCAGCAGTTCTGGTCCACACAATCTGTTGCTGAATGGCTTCATTTGGCTGCACGACCCCCTCCCTCCCCTTACCTCCCTCTGCTCTCGACCGACCCTTTACTGTATGAAGTCTGATCGCCCAGTGAGAAATGGGAACGTGGATTCAACGTCGAATCGATGTCGAAACATCGGAAAGATGTGGATTGGGGGGACAAAATTACGTTTATTCGATTGTTTCCACGTCGAATCGACGTTGAAGAAAACTCATTTCTCACTGGCATCGACGCTCTTTCAGTGTCAATTCTATAGAATTTTCGTTTGATAAACCCAATTTTACGCTCTTCGTCGAATGTTTTGGGATGTTCTCAGTAAAATGACCGAAAATGACACTTGAACAAGGAAAACGTTGTGCACGCAGAAAAAAATTCGTGGCTCTGCTACGTTTTTAGCAGTGGGGCTGAAAAGTTAACTGAATAGACTCGGCTAATTTATTTAGCACTAGGATTAATTTTTTAGCCACCCAGTAAACCGCGCCGTTTATTACCTGTGTAGCTAATGCCACTTAGCTCTACAGCTAAATATTTTTACATCCATCTAATGTTTTTGCACAGGTGTAAAATTGTGCAGTTAAACCGATTTGCACGAAACTGAATTTTATTTTTCTGTGTGTGAGAAGGACTTGCGCATTTTTGACAGTATCGTTCGAATGAACTGTGTACGAATGCTGCGTACTTTCGGGCAGCGCTTGACCCTCCGCGTCTGGTTTATCGCCACTTAAGGCCCCTTTCTCTCCTTCTTGTGCGTTGCCTTGGGGGTGCTGCTGCCGTCGAGCCGACCACCCCGGGTCGGGCAGTGATGTCAATTATGAGACGAGACAGAGGGCAATAAGTTGATGTCGTAAAGTCTACAACACAATTACTGTCACAGCTGGCTCGGCAAGCGGATAAGATTCTCTTCTTGTCCCGCCCGTGGTGTGATGCTGTTGCGGTGGTATAATAGTGACGCGACATCATGCCAAAAGGAAACCGAACCAAAAAGAAAGGTCCTAGCGACCAAAGCATGTAAAACTTTTATGAGTGAAGATGCAGAACGATTTTTGTAGAGCGCCCGGCGTTTTGAACGCGTCTGTGTAATGATCTGTGACACTATGAGCGTCCCGGTGATAATCATTTCAGGACGTAGAGAGAGAGAGAGAGAGAGAGAGAGAGAGAGAGAGAGAGACAGAGAGAGACAGAGAGAGACAGAGACAGAGAGGAACAGAGAGAGATAGAGAGAGACAGAGAGAGACAGAGAGACAAAGAGACAGAGACAGAGTGTCAGAGAGAACTGCAAGACGGCATCAAATTTAATCTAAGGGGTCAGAGAGAGTGTGCCCCGTGGGCTCTATATTGTGGTTTTCTTTTCTTTTTCTGTCGTATATCAACGAATAAAGTTTCATATCCTCATTTGACGTTTCGTAAATTCACGGTAGATTTTGAAGGTTCGCTTAATTAATTAATTTGCATTAAAACAAGATTTTTTAAAAGTGTTTTAAAGTTGGGGTGGGTACGTACAGATCTTTAACAACAATTGTATTCAATTTTTACGATTTTTTGTTGTTGTAAATATTCCTAAACGAAGTCGCGAGTCCATAGCCTCCCTAAAATTACCAATATTATTGTTAGGTTAGTGGCGATGGTCCGATGGGGTGATAATGGCCTCTGCCACTGGGGGGGTCTTCAGCAGATCATTGCCTCGGCCGCCCCACATTACTGTGCCGCCACGCCGCCGCGGTGTCGCACCCGTAATTCAACAGCATTCCGGGAGCCTTGCCCCC